CACAGACACACACACACACACAGAAAAACACAAAGAAACACACACAGAAACACACACAGAGAAACACACACACACACACACAGAAACACACACAGAAGCACACACACAGAAACACACACAGAAACACACACACACAGAAACACACACAGAAACACACACACACACAGAAACACACACACACACAGAAACACACACACACACAGAGACACACACACACACACAGGCAAACACACACACAGACACACAGACACACACACACACACAGACACACAGACACACAGACACGTGCACACCCACACGTGCACACCTACACGTATTTGTAGGATATAGAAATGTGTGCTCACACGCAAGTGTACACAGGTTCATTTACGGCATGTTGGTGACGCAGGTGTTACGGCCGGCTGGGTGGAGGCCCGTTTGGCACGCAAGGGCCAAGATTCCCAGGCCAGGTGCTGTAGTCAAATAGTGGAGACGAGTCGTTGCTGCAACAATGAGTTCATAACAATGACAAGGTATAGATGCGTGTTGGTTGTAGTTCGAGCTCGTCAACCGCACGTTCTTCCCATGACTTCAGGCTGCCTCGCCACTGCCTGACCTGTCAGCGGATCTGCGGCAAAAGAATCCGGACTGGAGGCTGGACGATCCTACATGCGTAAAGGGTGGGCCGCAGTTTCTGCGAGGCTTCTACGTCTCGTTCTGCATGATGACGGACCTGAGCCTCTTGGAGCGGTGGGGCCACCTACTTTACATGTCTCTGTCGTACATTGCACGTGCCCGCAGAGAACCGCATCGACAAGGCAATAAAGTAACATAAGTTCACGCTTGCCAGTTCGAAAGGCTGCTGCAAGTGTTGGTTGCCGTTTGTAACGTGTTGATATTGTGATCATGAGCATAACTTACTTGAGGCTTCAAGATCTTCATTTCTAATGTGGTGCCCTCTGCTCCTCCCTGTCGGTGCAGAGTTCTTGAGATCGGGGACCACTCGAAGAGAAAATGAGATTTACTAGTGTAGCATGACTATGACTGTAGGTAAGGTGCCATGAATCTAAGCCGACCGCCCTCTCCCAGAAGCGCTTCCCGGTGAATTTCTTCTCAGTGGAGCCACGGCCACTTCTCCACGACAGCCAGGCAGGCAGGGATGAATGGTTTGTATGATGGAGGTCGTGGTGCTACTGCGCTAGCTAAAGCTTTTCTGGGCACAGTCGCCGGCCCGTCAGGATGTTTCCGTTTCCGTGGCGACCGAAGAAGATCGACGTGCCTGGCAGCGCATGTACGTGGAGTACCGGGCGGCTCAGAGTCTCTGCTGATTACCGGCTTCGCGGAGGAGGCGAAAAGGCCGAGATGCCACTGCTCAGGATTCCGCCGGGATCACTGCCCTACGAATCTGACGAGGTTGCTGCTGATGCAGTGTCTGACTCAGATCCTGAGTGCTTCTTTTACTCTGGAGTGGCATCACGACAGAGAACTGCAGTGGATTGTGTATCTGATGCTGCCGGCAACGAGCGACGGTTGTGGCTCACAGCTCAGGTTTGGGGCATGAGCTTGCGTGGGCAGCTTCCGGGGAGCCTTGGCACGCTTGGAACTGATGAGTCGAAGGCCGTTTCGCTGGAACCAAGACTTGGGAATCCCAAAAGGACATAAGCATAAGCATTTTATAGGGTATCCCGACCTTATGGGGCTTCATTATAAGGGGATGTATATGGGATATCCCTATCCTAATTTTGCTTATGTGCTTTTTTGGGCCCTAAAGAAGTATGTACGAGGACTGCCGACATCTTGGTAGCCCGTGGGCAAGACGGCACCGTTTTGGGGGCGGCGACAGTGGCTCGGCTACCAGCTGCAGACGGTGCAGGCCGAGGGAAAGGGGTGGAGTCATCAAGCAGACCAGGACCATGGAGAGAAGCGATCCTATTAAAGCTATTAAAGATGGCTGCCCTAGCGCCAGTGCTCTTCCAGAAGCTTTGCAATGCTTGGCAGGTGCCAGTGCGCCACGTGGCTACCTTGGTGACCTCTTCGTCTCCCCCACGGCCCACGGCCGCTTGATTTCATCTAAGGCCCATGGCAGCAGCTAACAAAAGGGCGCCACTTCAAACCATGCAGTCGCTGGGAATTCTAAGGTAAAGGTGTCGGACGGGCATCTTGGCAAAAGTTCCCATCCGTGCCTGTGCCTTTTGCTGAAAACGCGCGGTGCGATGCGCTGTTCTCGCCGAGGCCCTCATGGCACAGGTCATGGCAAGGTGCAAGGATGCGGGTTTTTCGGAGCTGTGCTGGTACTGCCTCCAAAGCAACGTGAAAGCCGTGCTCTCAACAACCTCGAACGGCGCAGCAAGTTGCATGTTGCGAGCCCCGGTCAAGGGTCTTTCCCTTTGCGAGCGAGGCCATGGCATTCTACCGTAACCTTGGCTTCGTGCCGACGGCTGCTACTGTCTGGCAGTATCCGGAGGATGCGCCAAGTGCATCCGGCTAAAAGAACTTGGATCCCGCAACTTCCACTTCTTGCATTGCAGTCGCCGCGGCCTGCACAGAATCGAGTTTGCGCATGAGCCGATTACTTGAAGGCTCCAGCCTGAAGCAGCTGACATCTCGCATGACAGACGTTTTCAGGCGGCAGGTGTGTATGCATGTATGCATGTACATATGTAGCGTATGTATATATATATACACATACACTAATGTGTATATATAAATATCTTAATTTTCCTCGTTACTTTTTTGTATTTGCCCATCTCTTTATACACACACACAGAGCTACCTGAAGACTATGTAGCACGAGCATGGTGTGTGCAGTTCAACAGCCTCTGTGCAGAAGCAATGTCTCCCGTTCTGACATGTCGGCCCTTACCTTAACCCAGAGGATGGCCTCTCACCGAGAAGCTGGGGCTGCCAGCTGTAGCTTTAAGCCAGAGTTTGTGAGAGCTTAAAAGAGAGAAGGACTGTCAAGCAGCGCTTCTATCTCTAGCAGCTCTACACATTCGGTTCAAGTCTTCCAAAACCGTGTTTTTTGGCGCTTAAATGGCATCTTTCTCCAAGACATCCTCGAAGGCACCCAGCAGTGCAGTTTCATCCGTACAGCCAGGAGTCGTTCTGTCGAGGGGCCCGGTCCTGCACAGGCAGGCTCTGGAGTGGGTGGTGGAGGATGGGCGAAGGCGAAGCATTCATCTGTGGGTGGAGGCGCAGACAGACTTCCAAGCCTGCTTCAAGCCTTTAGAACCTGGGGCCTACAGTAGGGCTTGTCAGCATGTTTTGACGAGTTCAGGCGGCTCCACCCTCGAAAGGATCCAGCAAATCGAGTTGGAGATCTCGCGCACGCAGAAGAACAAGGCCAATCTTGCCAAAGGGCGAGTCGGGAACTGGAAGGCCAGAAGGCAATTGAAATTAGAATAGGGTTTTGGGGCATTATATATATATATATGTACACACACACACACAGATATATATATATATATGAGCCCGA